TTGTGCTTTATTATATGTTGATTTAACTCTGTAGTAAAGCGCCAGACGAGATACAGCGAAATATGCCAGGCAATAAATTGTGCAATGTATTGTTTGTGTCCGCATTATTTAAAAAAATATATCAATATATATATCACCAAACAAGGCCAAATGCATTCAGAAAACATTCTTGCATATGTATGACACAATAAACACATACACAAGGCAAGGGGCATGAATATTCAAGATCAGCAAGTTCTCTACAAAAATAGTGCCCAGCTTATAACTCAATTCTGAGTCAATTTATACAAATCAAACGAGAAAGCAACTGCAAAGCAAAATGTTACAAATATGCTAGGAGAGGGGTACAATTATTTATAATTTTTAAAACAGAAATATCTAAATTTATGAAATTATAACTCAAAGAAAGTTACAATGCACTATCCAGAAATTAAATAATGAAATGGATTTTATTATGGCCAAGAAAACAAAGACGATATATGAAGCAAAGCACATAATTCAAACAAGCAAAATTTAGCTACGATATGGCAAAATTGCAATTACTCAAGTCTGATGATTACAAAAAAAATGTGTGGATAGGTAAAAGCAACCATGCAATGCAGACTTGTCTTCTTTGCGTTCACCAGCTGTAAACTCCGGCAGAAAGTTCTTGTTGTTCGTCCACTTCTGGATTGCAGTACTGTTTCAGAAACTGAGTGTTGTGTGTGCATCCATTTGACAGATCTGACTCATTTGTGTGCAGACTCTTGGTTCCTTGCCTCTCAGGCAGATGCACTCTGACTTCAAAGGAAGCTCCCAATTAGTCTACTCTTACGACTCTTGACCAGGTGATGTCATCAACTATTCAGATGGTTCTGTAATTTGTTGGGTGTGGTCTGGGTGTGCATACACAGCGTAGATAAATGGGAGGACAGTAAAGGTGTTCAGTTCAACCACTAGTATGATGACTGAGATAGCAGCTGTCACTGAGAAACTTGCATGGCTGGCAGAACAGAAAGCAGCTTATACTGATAGGGACAGATTCAATGAGCATGCTTAAAAAGATCTAAACAGGCACACTCCAACTAGAAAGGGTTGACTGCATCCAGATGTCCTGCTTTAAGATATTATCTTTGCTGTACACAAAGGGACAATGGGGTGAAAGGAAATGAAAGAGCTGACAGACTGGCCGTGTCTGCAGAAGTTGGAAAAGGAAGACATATCGACAGAGCAGAGATACTGAATGTGCTGCATTCCAGAGACGCTGAGGCAAAGCAATGAGTGACGGTGAACCACCTGTTGGAAATGGGTATTAGCCAGCTGGCTGCAAGGCAAAGAGAACATATTCAAGTCAACTTCAGCTTGGTACACTAAGCATGTAGACACTGACATGGCTGCAGCATCAGAGGATGGAGCACGAATGGCTCGGACCAACGTGCTAGGGTGTAGATACAGACAAGTAAGAAGGAATATGGTACACACTCAGAAGTTACTTTTTTTGTGTGGTTTTTGTGTGTGTTGCTTTGCCCAAGTCTCAAATTTTTCTGAGTCTTCTATTGATCAACATCAAATTCCTGTGTCGTCATTCTTACACAGACAATGATCTCTGTGAATCCATTTTCTGACTTTGGCACCTATCAGTAGCTTAACACATCATCTGATTTTATTTCACAGATGAGATTGTTGTGATCACAATTAAATCTGGCTCATTATTTGTTAGATGGTGTAAAAAGGGTTTGTTTGAAAACAAAAAAATATAAATCAATGTAAACAAAAAGTGTGAACAAATCGTGGCAGAAAGTTATAATATTTAGTTGAACCAAGAGTAAGAAGAAAGTGCATAATTAGGCGTGTATGAAACTAAATATCCATATAATGCCCAAACATTGTATAGAACTGAAATATATAATTAACCAACTATATGTTTACTGTTAATTTCTTTTCTTCAGTAATATGTACAAATGCTGCTGTTATTTTTAATTCTGCAGCTAATATACAAGGTTACCACACAAATAAAGACAAAAACATTGTATAGAGTTAACATAATGTACAGAAGGAAAAATGCTAACAAATAATATGTACAATCATACATACACAAGAGATAAACAGTAAAGAATTATTTGTCTATGACTTGATACATATTGGATCCTACTGGATCCATATTTTAATAGACAAATTACTCAAGAGGTGATATGGTAAATGTCATGGTGGCTGCCTTTCCTTCCCAGAATGTTTCCCCTCAAAATTAACTTGAATTATCTTGAATTCAGGGATACTAACTGCTTTGTTAAAAAGACAAAGGATATAATAGATTCTATTCCATTCACCATCATTTAACCATCACTATTTGTTGCATTTCATATTTATAACTGGTGACTTTATAATAGTTGTACTTGTTTTTTTAACATTTACTGAGTTGAAACACATAGTTCACAATATTTTTTTCTATATACATTTACAAAAGCGAGAATAATAATATGGTGAAAATGACAATGCCTGGTACTTTCATTCCACCAACATTTGGAAGAGAGTAGTAAGAATGGGAGGCATAAAAGGGCAGGGGGGATTAGGAAATGAGGGGCCATTCTTACCTGTGTTGGTACAATGGTGTTGATGATCATTAATTCACATCACATGTTCATTTTATATTTACACATTCAGTTTACAGACTTCATCAAAAGAATGAAAGGTGCTGGTGATGATGCATTCACATAAACTCTCATTTCACCAAAACTGACAGAGAAGGGGGAAAGGAAGGCACAAAAGGACTGGGGAGTGTAGGAAGAAAGGTGGGCCACGTTTCAATGATGTTGGTGATATGTGTTGGATGATCCTAACAATCAGAAAACCATGTGCAAATTGCACATATCAGAAATTGCCCACCAGTGGTAAGGCAAAATTTTTAATTAGAATCCTTCTTCTTCTGTGTTCAACTAATTAGAATATTATTAGAATTCTCTATTATTAACATTTCACATTGTTTACAGCAAGGGAGAGTTTGTTATTGCATAAACACATTTAGGTAGTTACCAATGCTGCATAGTTTGTGCTGAGATTCTTCTTGGGTGACCTATATGAGGATACCAGAGCACTCAATATGTGTGCAGTAAAACTAAACATCTCCAGATATTAAAAACAAAATTTTCCACTGTCAATTTAAATAATATACAAAAATAATTAAATCTCCCAGACATCTCAAACTGCTACCCTACTTTAGGGCTATTCAACCAAGTTTGCTCAGGGACCAAAATGTTGAAAATATGAATTATCACAGGCCAGAGCACAAGTCCAAAACAATTAGAATGATCCACAGGCCACTTGTACAATTAGCAATGATCCGAGAGCCACTTGTACAATGATCCACATGCCATTTGCTAAGCCTCAGCAGGCCAAAATCTGGTCTATGGGCAGCAGTTGAATAGCCTTGCTTTACAAGAAGATGACAACTAATGTGTGCTTATATAAGTATATCTTGTATGAGAACCATCCTGCTCTTTGTACAGTAAGTAAGGTCCCTTCTCCACGTCTTTAGCGTATAGGGCTAGACCGATATTTTTTATAGACCAATCGGCACAAGATGGGTGATGTAGTCAGCATCACGCCGGTCGCCTTTACTTATCAGGACAGCACCCGATACCCACTCAAGGCTGGGCCGACCCGGGAGTCAAGGTCATTTTTGAAAAAAGTCCGGCTCTGCCAGGGAGAGAACCCACGACCTTCCGATCCGCATGCGAGCCTCTAGCTGCTACGCCACTGTTCTTTGTATATCAGACCTAAATAAAACTGTAAATACTTCCACTATATTAAATGTTATTGTGGTTTAGTTAGAAAGAACAGTAAGATGGCAGGTTACTGAAAGAATAGGCAGGTATCAACCACCACAACTGTGAACACAGAATATTACTCTATTTTTTCATGTATAACGAGATGTTTTCCCAATTTTTTTTTTTTTTTTACCTTAAAATTTAGGGTTTTCTTATTTACAGATTGTGTTTAAAATGTGTTATTTCTTAATTTTAGTCTACACAAATTATAAGGGGTGGTCTTATTTATGTGGGTACTTTATACATACAAAATACAGTTAACACACCTTGAGTTTTAAAAAAATTATATAGGAGAACTACTAACAGTTGGAGATTTTTCTCGATGCTGAAGTTTATCTATTGTCTCTTTAATCTTCCAGTTCCACCCACAAATTATGGGGATGCAATTTGAGATATATTTATCATAAAAGTTGTCCACAACTCCTTATTTTCAGCAAAATGGGTCAGATATACATGGAGAAGAATTTCCATTCTTCAACATTAATTACTGATGATTTCTTTTGTATGTCCTCTCGGCATTTAATTTCAATGATTCCCCAGGTCTGAGGAATCAATGTGTTTTACTACAAAACACATCCATTTGACTGACAAACATGACTCTTCATAGTCTGTATGTATTACAGTGTTTCCATGAAAATAAGACCTAGCTTTAAAAAATAAACCAAGCCCAGGATGCTTTTAACATAAACCCTCCCCGTAAGGGTTCTGGGGCCCCATATTGGGGAAAAGAAGAATAGTCCCACTGCCTCCCCAACAAGCATGTCGTAAGAGTCAACTAATTGGAGGCATTTTTCTAATTCAGAGTGCATCTGCCTGAGAGGCAAGAACCAGCAATCAGCATACAATTAAGTCAGATCTGTTAAATGGATGTGTGTGCAAGACTCAGGTTCTGAAACAAGACTGAAGTCTAGAGGAGGATGGACAACCAAAACATTCCGCCAGAGTTTATAATTCATTTGCGTGAATAAAAAAACAACAACAAACTTTTGCAACCAGCAAATTCTAGTCAGAAAAAGATGACATGACTGTATCTGAATAAATGTAAATCCTTGTATCTGGAAAAAAATCAATTAGACACGCCCCCCCCCTTCCCCCGTGACCTAGTGCATTTTTAAAGCAAAAATGAATATGACTTAGTCTTATTTTCAGGAAAACACTGCATTCCCCAAGAAAAACATTCTGATAAATGTATGTGAATTAAATTACAGAAAATATTTCCCCTCCACATGTGGCGATGTAGACAGAATTTCCATTTTCTAGCCCAGCCAGAGCTGAAGGTTCTCGAAGTAAGTTCGACTCAATGCTGATCAGTCCATTAGAACTGAAATCTGGAGAAATTTTATGCACACCATGCTTCCAGTCACAGACTATCACGGTTCCATTCTGCAACACGTGAACATCCCAAAACTGTGATCCTGCTATGTTAGATGTGTACGTGAATTTCAAACAACACTCTTTGTCAAAGATCTTCACAGAGGTACAGCTGTCAGACACAGCTATCTCATTATTTTTCCCAACAGAGATAAACATGGGTCCGTTGAAGAGATACTTGCCATCAGGAGTTTTCTTGAGGACCCTGATGACTTTTCCCCGGGTGTTAAATATGTAGACGCACCTGTCGATTTGATCGCACACAAAGATGTAACCCTTGTGTAGTGCAATCCCTCGAGGTAGTGTCAATCCTGAGGCAATAACTGACAGAAATGATCCATCATATGTGTATGCAAGCACAGCTCCATCGCCCTCATGCCTTCCTGCTTCAGTGACGTAAATGCAACGCTCATCCTCACAGTAAGCAATGCCCCAAGGTTTGTTGATGCTCCTCTCGGCCAGAGGTGAGAGGAATGCTTTAGGAATCCGAGAGTGGGGCTTAAACACCAGCACATTCTGATTACTGGTTACCACAAACTTGTCAGCAAACTTGTTGATGGCTAAAGCAGTGATGTATTCTCTCTCCACCAGAGATGCAATCTTGTGAACTCCAAGTGGCCGATCATGCAGGTACTGACTTTTTTGTATTTTCTCAGACACTACACACAGCTGGCCCATGTCCAAGTTCTTCAGTTCTGTCAAGTTGTTACCGAATGCGTCAAATGTTAAATTTACAGTATTATCACCATGTGATGAGAAGTCCTGTAGTGATGAACTGACAAGAAAACGCTCCACCATTTTGATAGCATTTTGATTCTGAAAGCCATCATTGCAGAGTTTGACCTTCTCCAGCAACTCCTGTAGGTGACTCAGTTCTTTCTTCCTATCGTCAACCACCGCCAGCTTCTTGGATAATTCTTCATTCTGATCACGATGAAACTGCTCAATCTTCTGTTGTAAGCTTTTTGCTTTCTCTTTAATCACTTTGTAAGCTTCTTCTGCTGCTGATTCTATTCTTTTCTTGAGAAGACCAGTATCCTCTGGCAACTGGCAAATGTGTGCCAACAAATATTCTTCTCTTTCTATGTTAGCTTGTTGCAGTTCACCAATAGCTTTCTCTCCAACCACAACAATAGCTTTGCACTGTGCATCCACTTCTTCACTACTCCTCAAACTATGGCTGGCAGTTGCCGGTAGTCGTCCATGGGCTTTTGTGCAGATAGTACAGAGCCACAAGGTACATGGTTCGCAAAAACTAACTAGGATACTTTGTTCATTGCAAGCACCACATAGAGTTTGTGAGGTGAGAGCCTGTGTATCAAACGTGGAAGGTGTTTCAAACACACTTAATTTTGTCTGTCCTTTAACAGTCTTAGAATCTTCAACAAAATGAAGCAAACTCACAATCCAAAAGTTGTTCTTGAAGTTCGACACATCATTGCCAGGAACAATGACGATTTCTTTGCACATTGGACAGGGAATTGTGTGGTCCAATCCTCTAGAGTCAACATAACTTTTCAGACATGCCAGACAAAATGTGTGCTGACAGGGCAAAACTTTTGGAGAAACAAACTGTTCAAAGCACAGAGGGCATATCAGAAACTGACAGGAGAGTTCATCTAATGGTTCTGCAGAGCTGCTTGCCTTTGCCATTGCGCTCGTTTTCCAATCAACCTAAAAGAAACCAAGTAAGCTCATTAGTTTCTAGTCCTAAATCAAATTGTTAAACAATATTGTTTAACAAGGTCAATCTCAAGCTATTTCGATACATAAGTTGCTTCTTTTTTTCTTGTGACTGCATGGCAGAGTCAAATGTTTATGACGTCGCTAAAGTATGAAGTTCATGACAGACTACAGACAATTATTACTATTCATTCCAATGTAAAATAACTGTAATCCACAAATTCACAGACAATTAGTAAGTGCTATGAATTTACACTGAAAGTACTTGAGGACAAGAAGGAAATTATATGTACACAGAGTATAAAAACAATACAAAGTCTAAGATTAGTAATATTGTCACTGGCATGTGAGAAAGTTTTGGCCACTGTCTTTCACATATGACATCCTGTACCTCAACTTAGGTAACAGCTTCATACAAGACTTCTGGCATAAGTCCCTGTCAAACACCTCAGCTAATGATAATCTTAGAGTTAGCAACATTTCAGAGATGCAATGATTTAAAAAATTCAAATACACATCATGCACTGACTTAACCTGAGAATTGTGGTATGTGCAGATATTTACTTCAAAAGACACTTTAAAAAAAAAAAGAAAGAGAGAAAAAAGAAGGCATGTGAACAAGAGGCAGATAGTAATAATAGTAGGAGGATAACATCAAGAAGTGGACAGACAGTGGTCTGAGGGTGTGCAAACCCCAGCAAAGGACACAGTGAGATCCACGTCAGCTCCGCCAATCTTCACTGTGAGGGCACCTGATTCTTCTTTTTCTTTGTGTTCACCAGCTGTAAACTCCAGCGGAAGGTTCTAGTTGTTCATCCACTTCTGGACTGCAGTCCTATTCTAGAACCTGAGTGCTGCATGCACATCTGTTTTACAGATCTGACTCATTTATATGCAGACTGTTGGTTCTTTGCTTCTCAAGCATATGCACTCCAACTTCAAAGGAGCTCCCAATTAGTTGACTCTAACAACATGCTGTTGGGCAGGCAGTGGGTTTATTCTTGTCTGATGGGCAGGCAGTGGGTTTATTCTTGTCTGATGGGCAGGCAGTGGGTTTATTCTTGTCTGATGGGCAGGCAGTGGGTTTATTCTTGTCTGATGGGCAGGCAGTGGGTTTATTCTTGTCTGATGGGCAGGCAGTGGGTTTATTCTTGTCTGATGGGCAGGCAGTGGGTTTATTCTTGTCTGATGGGCAGGCAGTGGGTTTATTCTTGTGTTCCCTACAATAGGGCCTTGGAACCCACACAGGGAAGGCACCTGATTGAAATGCATACGGCAACCCTGTTTCCTTTTAAAAGTAAAGAAATATTTACAGCCTAATAGAAGCATGAATATGGGAGTGCACTGAAGTCAAGGTAGACACAGTGCAAGACAACTTAAATAATCAAATCAATGATGATGACTGTTCTTCTTTTTGAACAAAGACACAAACAATAGATTGCACAATTTATTGCCTGGCATATTTCGCTGTATCTCGTCAGGTGTATACTACAGTAACAATTACATAAATGAAGCAAATAAGTGAATCCTTTGTAACTAAAGTGCAATTTCAACAACGATCAAACATGACTGCCTGTTTTACCAGGGCAGCGGTAAAGACAGAACCATCTCTTTCTGAATATAGACTTTCGGGCGCAGGTGATGAATCGCGCAAGCTTCGAGAAATCTTAGCGTTCTGCCATTGGTTGATGTATAAAGGATTCACTTATTTGATTCATTTATGTAATTGTTAATGTAGTATGCACTTGGCGAGATGCAGCAAAATATTCCAGGCAATAAATTGTGCAATCTATTGTTTGTGTCTTCTTTGTTAAAATTTAGAATGGGGAAACATTGCTTTGATGTTCTTCTTTTGTCTTTCATCCCCTCAGCCAGGTCATGCTAAGTGGCCCTATCTTTTGTTACCATAGGCAACTCACCCCATGTCCTCCCCACTTTTTCAACTTTACTCTTTAGTTCCCTTCTCTGTGTTTGTTTGTCTTTATTCCTTTTCACAGTGCAGGTTTTAGTGCCAGACACTAGTTATATCATTCACTGGTTTTTATCAGCCTATTCCCTATCCAAAGCCAGTGTAATTTCTCACTTCTCAATTCACTGGAATTTGTTAAGCGATCTCCAAAGGCAACAAATTAGTTGCACTAAAGTGTGTCCCTAGGAGGACTCAAGTTTTTCTCGCTGATGATGTTGCTTGCAGTATCAACAATCTGCATACAGAATAAAGCTATGCGGTTGATCCTTGGTTGTACAAGAGACTTCCCGATTGTGTGCATGCGACACATCCTTGCATTGTTGACTATTGCAGATAGGCTAAAGGTGCTGAAGGCTAAGTCATACCTCAGAGTAGCTGCAGATAGGGAACACCCTCTGTATGAAGCTTTGGCTGCAGGCAAGGGTCAGAGGCTAAAAAGGGGAAAATCGTGGATGGCTCAAGCAGAAGACACAAGACAAGTATGCATGCTGGAGAACATCGGGCGAGGAGAGGAGTGGGTCAGAGTACCAGCGGGAAAGTCTGACCTGTGTAGGGTTATGATAACATTGGGCCGGGTGTGCAGAGTGACCAGCAGGTGCTACGGAGGTGGAAGTCCAACAGTTGATTCACAACAATTTACACCCAGGTGATCTTATCATCTATACATATGGTTCAGTGTTGAGAGGAAAGAGAAGTGCCTGGGTGTTCGTAGCGAAAGCCAATGGAAAAAGTTTTGTGCAGGACAGCCTAGCATACGACACCCCAACATCTAGCATGAAATGAAGGTGGAGGCGGTAACTGCAGCTCTCTGGTGGCTAGAGAACGAGATGCATACACATGTCATAATTGTAACAGACTCTGAAAGCATGCTGAAAAAGGTGAAGACAGAGATCCTTCAAGCAGAGTGGCTAGCTAGACTGGAAAGGTCATGGGTGGTGAGCATAGTTTGGATTTTTTCTCCAGGCCATGCCGGCATCATGGGTGATGAACAGGCAGACAGATTGGCTGGATACGCACCACTGGGTGGTGAACTGATACAAGACAAGGCAGATGTGGTCAAGGCCCTTTGGGAACAAGCAACGGAATCAGTAGAGAAAGAAGATTATTATGGCCTGGAGAGAATGAGCCATGAGGCACCTGGGTGTAACGAGAGGGTCTGGCCGGCTCACTACACTCAGAGGAAAGGCAAGACGGACTTTTAATCAGATTGTGACCGGTTCCAGTAGTATTAGAACTCTGCGCTGGCTGCTGAAGATGAGGACGGAGCATGCATGGGAATGTCCCGAGTGCTGTGATATTAATTCTTGACTCAACAATCTGTAAGTGTAAGAATAACACCTCAAGCCCCGTTAAACCGTAAAGTTTTATTGGGGTCCCTGAAGGTTACAAAGTAATACGACGTCGGGATCAGGAAATAATATCAAATTCAACATTATTATTATTAATTTTGAGTTTCTTCTATCATACCAATTAATAATTCCGTCTATTCTATTCTGCACAGGTTTCAGTTAATCGTTAACTGATAATTAATAAATATGATAATGACAGACTGCTAACAAATAATTATTTTAAAAATAATTAATTTTATCAAATTCATGTTATGGTCACATCAGTAATAATTTATGCGTGCTTTACTATTGACTGCTTCGAAAGAAAGTGCAGTTCATTCTAGCATGCATTTCGTAAAGAAAGAAGTTCACTTAGAATTAAAAAAAGATGTAAGACAAACACATACAAATACAAGCAGTTATCGTTTTGTTTACTAACTTCCGTTCTTCAAGCGGAAGTGAGCAGGTGGGCGTGGTGTGCGAAATAAGGCAGGGTTAGCAGCTTGGCATTTTTAATGCTAGATTAAAGAAATTTCTGTAAAATCACCATAATGCGGCTTGAAAAAGGAGTAGATAAATGCCTACGAGTAGAACAAGCAGGATTCAGAAAGGGCAGAGGAACAACTGAACACATCTTCCCCATACGTAACATTTTAGAACATTGCAATGAATGGCAGAGAAGTATATATAAAAATTTTGTGGGCTTTGAGAAAGCTTTTGACAGCGTCCATAGAGACAGTCTATGGAAAATTTTACGACATTATGGAATTCCAGAAAAAATAGTCAACATAATTGCTCTCTTCTATAAAGACTTTTCCTGCAGTATAAAAAATAACAATACATCTTTTCCAGTAAAGACGGGTGTAAAACAGGGATGTGTTATGTCATCTATCCTCTTCAACCTTGTGATTGATTGGAGACTAAAGAACACAGTAGACAGGACATTGAGAGGCATACGATGGACTCCATTCACCATGCTTGAGGACCTTGATTTTGCAGATGATATAGCACTCCTATCACATAAACATGAACATATACAAGAAAAAAGTAACAGACTACACAGCACAGCAGAAATGGTGGGACTGAGAGTAAATACAAAGAAAACTAAGATCATGACAAGCAGTCCAAACCAACAACCAGTGACCATAAATAACCAAACTCTTGAAAATGTAGAACATTTCACATATCTTAGCAGTGTGGTGTCCCTGCCGGGAGGGACCGAAGAGGAGATACAGTCACGTCTGAACAAAGCTAGAGCTGCTTTTGGAAGAATGAGGCAAATCTGGAAATCCAACAATTACTGCAGAGGAACAAAACTCCGACTCTACAAGAGCATCATTTTGCCAGTTCTTCTTTATGGAGGGGAATGCTGGAGAATGACCAAAAAGGATGCGCACAAGCTGTCCACCTTCCACCACACATGTCTACGTAGAATTATCAAAATTTTCTGGCCAGATACAATCTCAAACACTAAACTACTTCAAGCCACAAACCAAAAAACTTTAGACAGTATGATTACCAAGAGAAGATGGAAATGGCTTGGCCACGTTATGAGAATGACTTCTGATTTACCTGCCAAAACAGCTCTCACATGGACACCAGAGGGAAAGAGAAAACAGGGGCGCCCAAATACAACATGGAGACGAACGATGAAAAGTGACCTGAGTGCGGCA